ATATATTCCTAAAACATCAACAACGGCACTGGACAAAAATGCAACATGTAAAAGAAGGTCATGGAATTTAATGAGAGCATCTTTGGCTCTAGACCAGACCCCAAGATATATGGAAAAAGAAAACTGCAATGCAATGAATTTGTTAAGCAAATTCAAGATTATGTTTTACCCTAGCTTTTAATATTGGGAATCCTAAAAAATGATAAAGACTCTACTATTTTGACAGACTTTTTAAGTTCAATATTGAGTATTTTAAATAGACTTTGCCCATCATACACTTGTGTACCAGAAAAGAAACAGAGAAGAGAAAGATGTAGTCCTCTTTTCATCTCTCATTTTTTAAAAAAAATTCATTTTGACTGTGCTTGCACTGGATAGGGCATAGAGATAATGAGAATCTTGTTCATTGAAGATGTAATCTTTATTTCCCATTTTCCCATACTGTAGCAGAAATGATAGTAATAATAACTTTTCTAACTGCATAAGAATATAGTAACTATACAACAAATCTTTATACAGTGATTACTGTACCAGACACTGTTCTATGTAATACACATTTCTTAATAACTTATAATAATCCTTTCAGCTTGGTGAGCTAACAAGTGCCTAGATGTGATAGTGTATAGCCCGACCTGCTCTTAGAGAATGAAGTGTGTCTGAGTATTAGAGCAGAAAGGGAATAGATAGTGGGAGCTCATGCCTACAAGTTCACAATGTCTCTGTGTCTCTTCAACATGGACTTTCTGAACTTTCTCTAGAACTCTATTTACTTGTCAGACTAATTAAAAGTACTGTATTAGTGCAGTCAAGCTGTTATAACAAAAATTACATACAAGATATCATCAAAACATATAAAATTAATACAGCAAGTGATACATTGCCGTTAATCATCTTCAGAACACCCTCCCCTGGCTTCAAACACATTATTCTTACCACTTTCTAAATCAGTTCTGTAAGTCCTCTTCAGTATCTAATATTTACCTTTCACCAAGTTTCTGATGCAGGAAAGTAAAACTCCTGATCTGTAAGGTAGAAAATGTTCCAAGTACATGTGCTCACAACATTGAGGAATGAAGCCAAGGAGGCAGGTAGGAGAGTTTTATTAGCAATAAGGGAAAGAAGAATAGCTCCTGGATTTCCAGGACAGCTCTCAGGTAGCCACCTAGGCCCTTTTTCAGCTGTAATTTATATAGCAAAATCTCAATATGGTTACAACGTGGGTCAGACTATAGTCAATTCATAGGCTTACAAGTATAGCTCCTTAGCCAATGTTGATCCAATAAGGAAATGAATCAAGTAACAAAGGTACATGAAAGGAACAGAAGCGTGTGAGAATGAAAGGGGAATACAAATCTAGTGTTCTGGTTGCCTACCTATGCACTTGATGTCTGTTTGGGCCCGTTGAGCCAGCTGGTGCTAATTACAGTATGATCTCAGGTTGTGGTTTACCTAACAGGCCTGGCTCTTACACCTCCGTCTGGAGGCCTCTCTTCAGATTCATCTCTAGCTACAATTCTGAAGTCTCTATTTTTTGTGCTGACCTTTTGGAGGGCCCGGTCCTTCTTTGATTATATATTAATTTCTATCTAATTTAACCGTCTATAATATTTTGATTTTGGGGGACAGCTAGAAGTTGCATGTTGTCAGATCAGGTGAATGAAGCAGATACAGACAACATAATGTCTTTATTTGACAAAAATTGCCATAAGTGTTTGATCAATGAGAGATGATCAACACAGTGAATGTTTAAATAAAAAATTGTTACAGTAAGAAATGCACTCCCCCTCAACATAATGAAAATATATCCCTTTGTTTCAAACCCAGTTATCATAACATTTTTTGGAATGTGTCCTTTCTGTAATTTTTTTTTCATTTAAATATTTGCAATGCATTTCAATCAATTCATGTTGACTGGCTTAAAAAAAAATATTTCTCAGCAATCTGAAGGCTGGGAAATCCAAAATCAAGGCAGATTCATTTTCTAGTGATGGCTTTCTTCCTAACTAATATAAATCTATCTTTTTTCTCTGTGTCCTCATATACATACTGGGCTGTTAATTATGAGGGTGCTCTTACCAGTCACGAGTCTTCTATTCTCCAAATTTAAGAAAGGCCTTATCTCCTAAAACTGTTGCCTTGGGAATCAGGATTGCAACAGAAAAATTTTTGAGGAAACACTAAAATTGAACACAAGTAAATACTAACTTTGCATTTTTAAAATTTATATAAAAGATATAAACAAAATACTTCATGGATAGACCCTTGCCTTAGGCATAATTTTATTTTAATATTAAATTTTATCATCTTTGGTCATAATAAATTTTGCATTTTTAAAATTTATATAAAAGATATAAACAAAATACTTCATGGATAGACCCTTGCCTTCCTTAGGCATAATTTTATTTTAATATTAAATTTTATCATCTTTGGTCATAATACGTTTAGAGAATTTCATTACGTTGTTTGGATTCAAATATACCAAAGTAGCCAATTCTCTCTTCTGGTGTCTCTGACATTGATGTGAATGGACGGATGCAAAAGACTGCTCTTGTCAGTGCCAGACTCCCTCTGTGGCTTTGGCAGCCTGGATTTGTGTGCTTATATTTGATTTTGGGGACTTTTAAAAAAAAACAAAATAATGTAATACTTTCATTAAATTTTCAGACATGACTGAGTGCTTTCTAGATGTTGGATCCTATTCTAAAGTTTTAATTATGCTTAATGTATATTAATTATATAAATGTATAGGTTTCTCTGTGACCTGTGTGATTGCATACATCAGATTTTATGTCCAACTTTTCTTTACTCTCTCTTACTTTCCCCTCTCTGCTTCTCCTTTCTCCTCCCTCCCCACTGTTGCCTTTCCCTTTCCTAATAATTCTTGTTCTACTTTTGGATTTTTTTTCCTGCATGTGATTAAAATATGTGCTATTTTTCTGTCTCTGTGTGGCTCTGATTCCTGGGTCATAGCAACACTCTATTATTTGCTATTGTGAACTCCGGTGTGGCAGTGTTTGGACTAAATTACCAAACTTATGTCTCCATTTACCTATCGTATCAGACATTGAAAAGAGGCTATGTAGGTATTACCTTTACTTGCTTTCTTCATCTTCTTTTGTTATTTCAGTTTTTCCAAGTATAACCCTTATAATTAAATCTAAAAGTAGCACAATGTATTATGCATGTAGAAAACAATAATGAGAAAGAAAAACAGAAATTAAAATTTTATTGCAAGAACATTTTCTTCAGTTTGTTTAACAATCCTCTCCGTCACATCATCCCCCTTTTGTGAGAACTGGGACTGCTGGTTCATTCTCATATGCTCTGAAAATGCTTTTTTATGTAGCAAATTATTTTGTCTGCATTCTTGATTCATAGCTTTTCATATGAATAATTTTATTGCTCTATTTTCATTATAGCTTTTAGGCACCAAATCATCATACATAACACTGTCTCTTTACGTGTCTTTGTAGCATCCAGATGTCTATACCTCATGTTTCTTCTGCCTTTCAGATGTTTAAAAATGTTTCCATGAAATAACTGCACTCACTCCATAATGCATTTTAAATTAGTCTTTTATAAGTGAGAATAATTTCCTAGAATACAGAAATACTTGATATACTTTTTGTTAATATTGAAAGCATAAACAGTTGCTGTGGGTTCACATTGATTTGAAAATAAATGATAGCTATGTTTTTTAATATAGCCTAATATGACATTTATGATATTGCAACTATGTATATGTATATAGATATATGTGTGTGACATTTTATATAAAGTAGTATATATTACACATGAGTATACATAGTTGTGTGTATATGATATGCAATCACTTACATTGCATGTTATATTTTGTGTTTTTCAGGATTAATATGTACTGCAGTTTGTATATATGTCCTGTTTAATATAACTTTGTTTTATTTGTTTTAACTAACATGACACCCTTCTGGGGATGAGTTGTAATGTACACATGCCTACAAATGTGTACACACATTTGCTAATATATGCAAGATTAAATTTAAAGTACAATTCTCAGTACTACATATTCGCTAATTTTTCTCAATAATTTTAACCACCTACAATTAAGTAAAATATTTGGCAATATTTCTATCAAATTTCTTATTATTTCAATGATTTTGCTCTAAATCATTAAACCTAGACGTTTCAGTGGCATGATTGAGACTGAAGAAAGTTTCTACTTATCTGCTAGAGAGAGAAGCATGTGATGATCAAATCTCCTATGCAATGTATATACATTGTTTTTTTTCCTCCACATATGCTTTAATACTACAGCATTTAATTGTCTTTACAACCCTTTTAACCTATGATTTGACAAGGTCATTCTCTTTGAGAAACTTTGTAGTATGTTAAACATCTTCGAGAATTAGAAATAGAATGAGATTCTAGAATTATAATTTCCAGTTGTCTAATATAAAGAAAGATGGAGGGCATGGTGGTAATAGAAATGGCAGGTGCTTCATGTAGAAGAGTCCGCTGTGTTTTCAGGCTGGATAATCCAAGGATGTCTTCCCTGCTTTGGAAGCTGCATTCGGAGTCCCTGATAGCTCAGAATCTGAATGTAGTTCCCCAAGTAACTTACTGTTTAAATGAGAAATTCTGTGGGAATCTATGATTTTATTTCCTTGTAAATGAGTAGGGCAGTTTAATGACAGGGTTGGAAAATATTATTGCACTGATATCCTGTTGGAAAATACTTTTAATTCTGATCAGATATCTTCCAAATGTTGTTGTGAAGACTTACATCTCCCCGTGCAACATATGGCTTCCAAGTCACTTCAAAAGTACTTAACATTGTCATTGAGCCAAAAATACATGGAGGAGGATCTTGATTGTCATTGTTATTATTATTATTTTTGAATGCTTATAGTGCATTTTCATGGCAAGTTTCCTTCTGTGCCTGTTGATGTTCATAAGTGAAAGGCACTGCTTTGCTGTCTATCTAAATGGTAATTTGATTTCTCTAATAACTTTCTTTACAGGAACTGGATTTTGAAGCCAAAACAAGTTATACATTAAGGATAGAAGCTGCAAATAAAAATTCAGATCCTCACTTTGTAAGCTTGGGGCCGTTCAGTGACACAACCACCGTGAAGATAATTGTAGAAGATGTGGACGAGCCCCCGGTGTTTTCTTCACCTTTGTATCCCATGGAGGTATCAGAAGCGACCCAAGTTGGCAATATCATTGGCACAGTCGCAGCTCATGACCCAGATTCTGCCAACAGCCCTGTGAGGTAAAAGCACAATGCTCTTTTTCTGTAATTTTATATCAATATGCCTCTATTCACAACTCATCTTTCTATATTATCAGGCTTTTTTATTCATTGAAAATAATAACCCACTTTATTTAAATTGAGTCAAAGCAGAAGAAGTAGAATAGTGTCAGAACAATTCAACATTTTACTAATTCAAAATTTCACTCGATTATCCAAGACCACTATTGTGTAGAAATATTTTTAGTTATCATTGTTATCCACCATCCATAGCCAGTGTTTCTATTCAATTATCCTGAGCCTCTTTCCAAGCAAACCGTGACAAGAAATGAAGTGATGCATCTCCTAATTGTAGGGTAAACTTGTATATTAAAATAGTCATTCTGTAAACTGCAGTAGGGATTAATTAAAAATATATTGATCATATTGTTTTGTTAGGATGATATATATTTGTTTGCTTCTTTGTATTTACTTATAAGAATTAAAGAATACACTATCTATTTATATAGACTATTTAAAATACCCTTTTTGTAACCTTATTTTTAGACTAGGCAGTTATAGCCAAATAACCTCTTTAAGACTAACACAATTACAATGTGTAAGCATTATCCCAACATTCCATTTTTTATCTTTACCTATAGTTCATAGTCTTATATCTGCCTGACTGTGTATGCACATGTGTTTTTTGCTTGTATGTTTGATAAATGATTCTTATATTTGGGGTGAAATATTATAAATAAACTTTACTTGAAATACGAATATTGTATTACTTGATTTAAGTTTGTTAAACACTTCTCAATATGAAATTGATTTTAATACAAAGACTATAAGGGAAAATGATTATGTCATATATTCAGTTATATTCAACCTATAAGCTAACCTCATAAATAATACCTTAAAGTAGTTCATGCTTAGAAATTAAATCTGCATATTGACTAAAAAGTGTTGTAACAATCAATATTTGAATATTTCTAATTAGGAAAATATTTTGGTTAAAGAACTTCTCATGAGCTTTTATCCTTCATATAATGAACTTATTTTTAAGTTATAAATTAATTAACTCCTTTTCTTCTCTTTTCTCTCACATTAGCAGAAATTAGTAAAGTGGTGGTCTGAAGTCATTCATATTGTTTCTTTATCTTTATGATAAATTGGGAATGAACAGCGAACTACATTTTATGCAGTGATTATTAACAATATCTAAGTATATAGTCTGTGTGCTAGCTGTGTCATAAATACACTACACAGAATAATCTTTCACTTTTTACTTGAAATAATTCAAATTTGATTGGCTAAAAAAGCTACCTAAATTATGCTTACATTTTTCCACCAGTCCCACTGACCTGGAAAAACTTGAATTTGTTTTTTTGGCTGAGGTATAGACATCTAGAAGGTACAAAGTCATGTAAAAAGATAGTGTTGCTTATGATGATTGGATGCCTAAAATGAAAATACAGCAATAAGAGAATTCATAGGAATTATTGATTTGTGTCTTGATAGAACACTTAAGCCTCCTCAATGATGAACAATCAACAACAGTAAATTTACAGGCATAAATTAGCTACATATGACTGGGTGACTTATGCTTAAATCATTTCATTTAGTGGGTAGAAAGAAAAATATGCTTTTCTGAAGTTGAGGTTATGGACAAAGACACAGTAAATATATAATAAACTAGTACTCAAATACATAGAGATTGAAATGTATTTTTGACTGATTGCATTGGTATTTCTGATCTTGTTTTTAATTTTCCTTTTTTCGCTCTCTATTGTCATCTTATCAGTTCTGAAAAAATATTGCATTTTTTAGCACTTTGTTTGGAAAAGGAACAGTAGTACCATAGAGACATCTGAGGAAAAAAGAAAGAAGAATAGGACCAAATGGATAGTTACTATTTTTTGGAGAGAGATTGCTCAAAGGCTGAAGTCTATTGCTTTCTGAAGTAAAGATCTCTGTGACCTTTATGAAAGTCATAAAGTTTATTTACCTTGCTTTTATTAGTTTATTTACCTTGTCTTTATTTTCTTAAAAGTAATTAAGGTGAATTGAAGCTTCAGTTTGGGACTAGCTTACATATTTTTCTCACCAACAGATAAACTTTATCTCAAGTGCATTAAATTTTTGACCTCTGGAAACATTACTTTAGTTTTTGTAATTTCGTATGTTTAATGCTAGTATTTTTGTGATATTATTTGTTTTACATTATTTTCGCTAAGGGCAGTGCAATCTTCCATAGATTATTTCTTTTTTCTGAACTTTATCTTGCCTCTTTTTCCTTTCCTACCCATTTACGATATATTTTTAGAAGCCAGTGCCCTCCTTTTAGATTGGTACATGTGAGCTAATGCTTGTTCAGTTTATGAGGACAGTTTTCTTGGCAATGCAGTTTGTGAATGTTCTAGGGCAGGATTGGCAATCCAGTGGCACAGGTGCTGCAGCAGGCTGTTTGTTGTAATCAAAAGCTCCAGAAGTTTTGCAATCACCAGAGGATGTCACTTAGATTCCTGAGTTTCTCTGTAAGACAGCAAAAAAGAAACTATAATCGTGATGCTTGCTTTATTACTTTTTTTGATCATTAAATAAAAAGATAATGTAAATAGTGCTTTAAACTGTGAATCAAGCAAATATTAAGTGACCCTGGGACCCAGTAATTGGCTAGCAGCACATAGTAAGATCCTGATATTAGGGGATTTCTTTTCTAGTTGTCGCACTATCCAGCTAGACTATGCACTTAGTGTCCTTCTTGTATGGGACTTAAAACTGCACTCAAATAAAAAAGGTGAAAATTAGATGATACTTGTAATTATTCAAAAAAATCTTAAAGCAAATGAAGGTGAATGAGGGCAAACACATTTTTTTCTTGTTTTGCTTAACAAGCTAATTACAATCTCATGTCAAATTTGGCCCTGAATACTAAATATGTTCTTATACCTATTGAAATTGCAAGGACAGGATGCAGTCTTTTGATTTTGATCACCTTTTTGAACTATAGAAACTTATTTTCTCTATCAAAGCTCATAAGAAATGTAAGAGAAGCCTAGAAATCTATGGAGCCATTCATTCCTCATGTCAGAATTGGCAGGCTGATTAGTGACTCAACATATATTTATTAAGAACCTGCTCTGTCCAGGAAGACACTGAGGAAAGTGCTGATAGGAAACAAACATGAATAAAACAGTTTTTCTGACATCCAGGCACTTACAATCTGGACAAAGTTAGAAATAATAAATAAGTAAAATTAAACAATATGAGTATAAAAAACTGTTAATGCTATAACATGGAAAATGAGATAAATCATTATCACTCTGAGTTCTCTTGGCATGAAACCTCATTCAAAGGAGTGATAGCATAAGAAGTTTTGAGGGATGGTTAGAGTTGGAGAAGCCAAGAAAACATAATGCAAAATCTTTGCTTTATTTAGATATTTTAAGACCCCAGTACTAAATTATGAAATGAGCCAGTTCATTTCTTGAGGATATTGAGAAAACTCAAAGACCCAAATGATCGAAATAATCTATGAATCAAAGCATGGTCTTATTACAGATAAGATCAGATGTGAAGATAGTTGAATAAAAAGTAATAGGCATCATTATTGACATATTTAGCAATTTAAATATATACAACAGTGTGTATATTTATGTTCAAAGAGTTGAATAATAATTAACAGTAGCCTTTTTGATATTCAATATGTCTCAGATAAAATAATCATAAAGTCATATGGACATGCAGTATTTGAATAATTTAGTGTATATATATTTTTAATTGAGTTTATTGGTACATTTTAGGTATACAGTACAGTTACATTCATTATTAGGATCTTGTACCTTTACATGGCAGGTCTTGGTTCTCTTTTTTTCCCTTTGCCCCTGCCCTCCCTTCACCCCCTCCTCCCCTAATTTAGTGTATATTTTAAAGTGACTTGTATGCATGCATATATTTGTACATATTGTGCTAAATAATCTATTTTTTATAAAACACACAGTGTGCTAGTAACACACTGGAAAATAGTGCTTGCAATAAAAATAGTTAATTTGAAAAGTTGCAGAAATCTGTGAGTTATGCTGCATGCTGTATATCAAGTACTGCTCATTTAAACATAAACATAACTACAAATAAAAAAATATTTTCAGGTATTGTGAAAGAAAGAGGTGTTTTCTTTAAGATTGTACTTACTATGCAGAGATCATTCTCAAAACATTAAGTAGGAAATACCTAATTTATTTGAGCTATTTTCCATTTTCATTACATACACTGTTATAGAATTATATTGCTGTAGCCAGCTCTCAGTAAGGACCTTCTGATTTAGACTTTTAGAGGATTCTAAATATAATTAATTTCCTGAAAATTACTTGCTTCCTGATTTGTACTACAAGCTCAGATTAATAAAAATCAGAAAATGCAAACTTTCTCATTTAAATCAAGGAAAGTTATATATGAGGCTGAAAGATTGAGGGGCCCACATTTACTTACTTTTAATTGACCTTTTCACACTCTTTAATTGCATCAGGAAATGCCACATTTAAATAGGGAATAAAAGGAGTTTATTGAAATAATCAGGCAAAGCTCACAAAATCAAAGGAAAGTTGAATAGCCAATCTTCAGCAAAAGGAGAAGCAAGATTGCTCTATAAATATGAGAAGAAAGAATGAGCAGTGTCTTCCAGAGTCAACAGCATGTCCCTTGTGGCCCTCTTGTTTAATATTTATGTTTCCTGAAGAGTTTTTGTCTTAACTTAATATATGTGCTGTCTCTAAACCAAAAACACCCTTAGTATCTCGACTGTTTCATCAACGTATGTGAGTTGAGAAGATTTAAGTCCCCAAAGGAAAATTGAGTTTTACAAGAGAGGGTAAAGATATACACAGGTTACAGTAACTCCTAACATTGTGTACAAAATTGAACAGTTTATTTTGAAGTATTTTATTTGTCATTAAATCACTATAAGGCAGGGCTTATTATTTCTACATTTTAAATAAACACACCTGTGGTTACACAGCAAAAAAAATGCACCTTCAAGGTTT